AGGGGGTTCCTTATTGTATTCGGCTAGGCTAGGATAATCCCTCTCTAAATCCAACTCAAACTCCTACTTCTAATGGTAAACAAACTCCTACTTCTAGTGGTAAACAAAACTCTTACTAAGAACATAAGATAAGATAAGGATAGATGGGATAAGGGATAAGGTAAGCTGGTGGCGAGTTGGCAAGAAAAGCTGTCATGGCAAGATAAGTGTGGGCCCCCTGATGAGCTGTCGTGTGGGCCCCTCCTCATTGCTGCTGTCGGCAGCGGCGGTAAGTCTTTCCCACGAATGCATCCATAACAATTTATGCCAATGATTATTATTAAAATATATCAACATTTATAATTAAAATACATATTATATATTATTAATATAAATACTAATGTTAATATATATTAATGTTGATATTAATATGGATTTTTATAATTAAATATAAATATATGTATTTATCTGGTTAATTCGGTTTTCAGTTCAGTTTGGTTGAATTTTTTTCTCAAACCGAACCGAAAACTGAAATTTCCAAAATCTTAAAACTGGACTGAACTGAAAACTGAAATAACCAAACCAACTTGGTTTATTCGGTTTGGTTTTTGGTTTGATAACCAAATTTGAACACCCCTACTCCGAAGCATATGCCTTTGATACCTCCTCCTCTTGAGTAGGTTTATACCTCCTTTTTTGATGAGTAGAGGTTTTTGCCTCCTTGCACTCAAGAGGCTTACACCTCTTGCGTTTTGAACAGTGTCTCATGCCTCTAGGTAGTGCCTCAAATCATGCTTCTGTGTGTTAAAACATTGTCTGGTTAAATGACTGTTATGTTGGAATAGGACATTTTTTATTTGAGTTAAATAATCTGTGTTAAACTGAAATTTTTTTAGACTTGTGGAATCTGCATGAAGCATCTGCATCTGAGACTCGAGTTGTGCACATCTGAGTCTCGGTACTTCAGGGTTACCTCTTAGGACATGGTAGTTGTGATCTCTGTTATTGCTGTCAATATTTTAAGCCTGCTTGTGAATCTTTGGCTATTTCTTTTTAGCTATTATAAGTTCATTCGTTCATTTTTTGTTCGTGTTTATCTCTAATTATTTAAAATAATATAGTATATGCTTTCATATTTTTTATACATGTTGTTGTGTCAAGTATTTGTAATAGAACAATGTTGACTGGTGGTATGTGAAACAGAAATGGGGCACACAAATGAAAATGGAGAAGAGTTTCTTTAACTTTTCTTACAATAAGTGGTGCCCCAGAACTGAGTTGCCACAAACAAGGGGTGAAACTAGTCAAAGGATGCACTCATTACTTGAAAAAATAATAGCTGTAACTCCCTATCCTAGCCTATCTAGTCTAACTTTTTATGTTTGCAAAACAAAGATAACAAACAACATGCTTAGTATCATTTTTTATTGTATATTTGCAACTCATATTAATTTGTTTATTGGATAGCATCATTGTCTTGAATTTAGAACATATCTTTTTTTTTTTAATTTTTCTGGTTGCACATTGAATTTAGAACATATCTTTTTTTATTTAATTTTTCTGGTTGGCTAGTCAGTGCAATTAGTGCCTAGGCACTGACTAGTCATTGCACTGAGTAGAGAGGCCAAAACGACTAGTAGCCACTTCACTTCATTGATAGCACTGATTTAGAGTAGTAGTTAGTAATATATTGGAGTCTTCCCTACTGGTCCAGTTAACAGCTGGAGCTATTATGGGACCAATATAGTCTGAAGGAAATTGGCTCTTTAGGGTTGATATCTTCCATTATGGTGTGGAGACCTCTCACGTTTTTTTTTTTTTCTTGATAAATCCAGAATGGGGCTACACTTTGTCTGCATTATGGTTTGCTTTATATGCTTGAAATCTGTTCAAGATTACCAATTACTCCAGACTTCCTGCATTGTCAACATTATAAATCTATTGACTATGTGAATCTTCTTCATCTTTTGCATTCCATAGGATACATAGCTAAACTGAGGGATTGGATTTGTTACCTGGAGATACAGGATGGGTCTTATCAGCCTTCATAATAATTGTTTTAGCTATTTTGCTTTGCCATACCCCTCCATCCGGGACTCTGTTTTCTGTTGAGTTGCAGTTCCTCAACTCTTTCCTGCTACTACAACATATGTTACTTCAGTCTTCTCTATGTCCTTTAAAAGCCTTTAACTTGTTGCAACCATTGGTACGCTAAAACCACCTTAAACAACATTATAATTCTATTCAATGCAAGCCTAGGTTCACAAGAAGGCACTCATTAGAAAGAATGGTATGGTATGCAAAGAAAATGCCAGGCACTCCTCAAGAAGCTATAGGCAAGTACAAACTTCCTAACCCAACAGATCCAACGAATGCAATCAATCCTTAGTACTGTCACCTGTTCATCTTATGTCAGCCTACATTTATTTGATCTACATTTGCTTTTACCTGCCCAATATTCCTTCTGCCAGGCTGTTTTTGTCACATTGCTGCAATATGGCATGACAAAGCACTGTAAGGCTTATTTTTGTTTTATGCACTTATCAGAAAATGTGCAAATCCTTAAAGAGGGGGTGGGGGAGAGAAGATTTTGGAAAAATTTCTTTGATTTTATAATTTGAAGAGGCCTTGATTGCCACATGGTCTGGGACTCCAGGAGAGGCCAACTGGGCAGGGTTGTCTGATTTCTTTTCTTTTCATTTTTTTTTTTTTTTTCTGTTTGTGGAGATAGTTTTTTGATGGTTAAGTCAGACTGGTTGGCCACTCAGCAATGGTAGTTAGTATATGTGAATCCTATCGTAAATCATAAGATTATTTCTACTTTTCACAAACTTGTCAATAATTAAATATACATATGCTAAAAGATTAAATATATATAGAAAAGTGTTATTTTAAGTCATACTTACCATATATGTATGTACCTAAAACAATAGAGCTTACCACTTATACAATAGAAGTCTAAGATGATGTAATATAGTTTGGCTTGAAACTCAAATTATCCGCATACAATGGCTCTTTATCCAACACATGATAGAAAATAAACTCAATATATCTTAAATAACATAAATATATCAGTTTCTAGTAAGGTCTTTAAAGCAAGTCATCCTTGACAAAACAAAATGAAAAAGCAGAGAACTAATTTTTAATTTAATTGATTTGAACCACAATGAATTGCATGAATTGTATAAATTGTAAGATTTATGAATCAAACTGTAGGATTTAAACAAAAAATCATAAGATTTTTGCAGAAAAGGATTCAGACATAAGATTTGAATCGGAACTCTTGAGATTCATGATTCAAAACATGAATCTTTCATAAATCGTATGATTTTAACAACATTGGTATAAGGTGCAAATGAAATGGCATGGGGTCTCTTTCCTATTAGTCCAAAATAACCTGCACTCTGAAGTGCTCCATTTTGGGGTTCTACCATCCCAGTCAGACAATTGTGACAATACCATTTGTCATATGTTGTGAGGTTGTTGTGTATTTATTGATGTACTTGATGAAAGATCCTTAGCATACATTAAGAAGAAGAATGTTTTTGTTGTGTATCGTGCATATCATACACCAAGCTAATTAGACTATTTGCTAATACTTGAGTTTGACGATTAAAAAAAAAAAAGACTAATTGCTTTAATGTTGCCCATCACATGCAGGAAATTTCAGCTTCACAGAAAGATTGTCAGTTAAATATGCAGGAGCTGCAGCTATGTACTTTGTTTCTAAGAATCTGAAGAAGAAATATAACATAACTGATGAACGTGCAGCATTATATGAAGCTGCTGAAACATGGGTGGATGCTTTAGATGGCCGGGATTTTCTTGGTATGTGTACTTAATCTCACCATTTAGTTTTTCTGTTGGGATGCAGATAAATACAAAAATCTTCTTGCTCTAGATCCAGCCTAGTTAACCTGGGTGTTCCTCATGCCTACAGGGGGTTCCAAACCTAATTTAGCAGATCTTGCCGTCTTTGGTGTCCTAAGACCCATCAGACACTTGAGGTCAGGTAGAGATATGATGGAGAATACACGCATTGGTGATTGGTATACAAAAATGGAAGAAACTGTTGGAGAGTCTTCAAGGATAAATGCCTGATTAGAGAATCTTCCCATTGAATCCATGGTTGTGTCATTTGTTCCAACTTTGAGTAGCATTAATGGTGTTCTCTTAAGATCCCCAGAACAGGGGAATAAAGAAATTTTGTTCTCTCTCTTCCTCTCTCTCTCTCTCTCCCCCCCCCAATAAAACAAATGTTTCGATTGATTGATTGGGGTAATTTTTTTCCTAGATATGTTTTAAGTTGTGCTATAACAATTTATTACTCGACAATATGTTCTAACTTGTTTGAATTTCTTACGTTATGTTTTGGGACATAAGTGGTTGGTGGAATAAATATTTATTCAACGAGTATTTTTAAGTATTTTAATTATTTATTAGTGTTTGGGAGTTTTTTTGACCAACCCCTTAGTTAACTTAAAATAAGTATTTATTTGTGTTAAAGTGTTTGGTGTATTTATTTTTGTGAAAATGATAATTATAGCCCTAACTATATGTGTTTGGTGATAAATAAAAAAAACGAAAAAGAAAGAAAAAAAGGAGAGAATATGGGGTAAGATTGAACTTGAAAGGGAGAGAAACAGCACATTTGTCGCAACTGCAGGCATGAAGATGTTTTGGAAATAATGTACAGTTTTAGGGACACTTTTACCCCTGTTAGTTCAACTAAGTACTTGAAAAAAGTCACTCAAGTCTTGTTTATTTTTTAAGTACTTAAAAATAAGTTCTAATTTTGGGCTTATTGGGAAAACGCATTTAAGTATTTATTCAAATAATTGGAATAATACAAGTATTCCTATCATTAAGAACATAACAACTGATATGGTTTTGACTCTTGGGGTCTATTTGATTGCTGAGAAAGGGATGAGTTTCCGAATGATTCCCTCTTTTCAGTTTGTTTGTAAGAATACAGTGTTTTTGGGACGAAAAAACCGTGGGATGCGGGATCTCAAAAACAGGCAAGCGGGTTTTATGAGACCTCAATGAGAAAAGGAAAATAAAGATTCTCTTGAGAAAACTTATCAGGCTTGTCAGAGCTGAGCCTCGAGGGAATGTCTCCATTGACCTTCACATGTCCCAGCGGTCGGATCTCTGGCATTTGCTCCGTTAGTCTCATTGAAAGTTAAAGACTAGGTCGGTGAATAGCTTGCTTCAGTGATTCTTTTTTTGGGAAAATGACGGTTCAGCCCAGGGTCTAGGGTAGGTGAATAAATTAATATTTTATAGATCTGGTTGTTAATACCTTTCGTGCAGATCAATCTGTGAATAAATCAATATTTTTTTTATTTATGCTGTTTTTCCTACTTTCTTGTATATATTGTATGTTTTGTAGATTTGTGTTTTTTTTTTTCTTTCAATTTATATTTACTGATCTGCATTCTTTTTTATTCTTTTTTTTTTCTAATTTATAGTGAAGATCGATTTGCTTTTGTTTATTGTAAATCTGTGAGAACCTATATGGATTGATTACCTTTATCATTTGTAATTGTATTAGGCTTATTGATACTCAAAAACAAGTATAATATATGGACTTCTTGGATCGATTACTTTAACAAGCACTTGTACAAAGGCAACTAACACTAGCCCGTTAATTAACTTTCTGCTACTAACTCAGACAAACCATTGAAAACAGAGAGGTGGCTGCGGCTGTAGGGATGGTCTTAAGTATAGTATATGGAGTACTTGTGATAAAGTGAATTTAGAAGAGGATGTCTTAAGTTATGAGCTGAAGATGCACAAGATGGAAGGTGGTCAGTTGGAGCTGTAGGGATGTTGACAAAAAAGGCGGAGAGGTGGTTGCAGACCAGACTACTGAGATTAATGCAGTCTAGGAGTTAGAAAGGATCAATGAGAAGAGTCAGCCACCATTCAAAACCATCTTTTTCTCTCTAAATTTCACTGTCAACATAAAATTACCCTCTTTTCCTCGACAAACTCTACCTGACTCTCCTCCCAAACTATCAAAGTGCAGCCCGAAGTGTCAACAGAGAGGGTGAAGACCCAATCCTTATTCCTTAACCCCCAAATACTTATCATCCAAGCGTCATTAATTTTATGATTTTATCTACTTTTCATCCAAAAATATTTGGACCAAGTAAACTGTGCATTGATCATAAGCCATTAGCTTGTTATAAGCCATGTTATGATTGTTTAAAGAGAAGAGGAAAGGGACCCCTGGTCCAAGAACATCTAGCTCATCATAGAAAAGATCACAATGCATACAAACCCCATGATTTTAAAGATTGGAAGCTAACTTTAATGAGCTCGACGTACATATCAGGATACTAAATTAAAAGACAGTTTTAAGACATACTTAAAACATCAGTAAATAACAAAAATCCTCAACATCTAGCCTTTTCCTCAGCAACAACATTGAATCAAACCCAACTATTTCAAATAGCAGTAGCTAGATATCAAAGTTTAGACAAAATGAAGAAACCGCAATAGAGAAAAACAAAAGAAGAGGCCCAAGGGAACATGACTATTTACTTGCAGAGCTTCAAAAAGTTTTTGGTGGTTAAGGGGCACCGGTCCGAGTGCAGATCCACAACGACATCCCCCAATCTTGTCACAACGAGAACTGACATTTTCCAACCCAACCAGTTTTTCTATCACCGTGGTCGAAATTCGGAGCACCTTGAAGCTTACAGCTCGCGAACTCCTCTTCTTTCGCTTTGAATGATTTGTCAAAGAATTATGTTAGCTGTATTGAATAGCAGCTAATTAGTAGCTACTAAACTATGTCTTCTTGGTAGTAACAAGATTGTAATAGATAATAATCCTTTGGGCTGCGTTTGGTTGCAGTGCAAATCATATTTGCACTAATGCAAATGTATGGGAGTGCAAATCTGGTTTAGTTTTGCATTGGCATTTGCACTTATCTTGTTTGGTTGAAGGTGGTGCAATCAATAAAACAATTTTGCATTTGTTTGTTTGAGTTATAAAAAATAAATGTAGCAAATAAAATGCAAAGCTTAGATTCTTATTAATTTTTTTTTTGTTCTACCAAGATATAAATTGACATGTGCATATGTACCACATGTGGAACCAAAATAGACATCAAAATGTATAGCCATTAATACATTTTACATGTGGGCCCCACTTATAACACAAATTTATTTAGTTTATAAAAATCAGTCGTGTATTCCTAACTTTGTCCTTCACATATGCATATGTACCATGTCTAGAACTTACATAGGCATCAAAGCATTGATTCACGATAACATTTCAATGTGAGCCCCACCTGTCAATCCAAAGAACTTGTAGACAATATGGTTTTAGTGTGGAAAATCAATTATTTTGATGGGTGTCTCTGAATTTCATTTTATACAATTGTTGATTGAAATACAAATTGGGGGACAAAGATGATCCCACCCCCTACCTATTGTCTTTAGAGGAAAAAGAATCAAATATCTTCTACTAGCGATTCTCACTTGTTGGAAAGAAACTTGGGTGGACCTAATTAGAAACCTCCTAACATAACCAATAAAAGAAAATTAGTAATAGCAGAGAAGGCAACAATTCTAAAAATAAATAAATAAACCATTTCAACCATCCAATTATGGTTTCAAGATTTTATAGTATATATCGATTGAGCAGGTATAATCTTCTTTCTGCCCTTTTTCATATGCACTTCAGCTGTCCCAAAAGGGCACTAAGTTACAAAAAAAAAAAAAAAAAAAAAAAAAAAAAAAAAAAAAAAAAAAAAAAAAAACTTGAAGAATAAGCATTGTAGGAAAATGAGAAAACTCTTCAAACACTCCTTCAGATTTTCCATGCTAGTGGATCAATGCTTTTGTTCATCCTTACCCTAAGACTTTGAATATTCAATCCACACAAGAATATCCTAGTATGCTATGTTGGGTTATTTAAGACTCACTCGTCTATGAGAACACCCACTTGTTTCTCCTATGTAAGATTCTATCACCTGTTGAGGATGAGAAACTCCAGCAGCTTGTTGAGCAATATGTCCCCAAGAATTGGAACTCTATTGCAAAGAAACATCAAGGGAGATCAGGTAAGATATGGGATAAAGATGGTCCTCTCTCCCCCTCTAATCTATTTCTAGAAAGCTGAAACGTTGATGTTAAATTGAAATTCCAAATTAGAAATTATAATTTCTCTTAGGCCAACTTGAACATAATTTCAACTTTTTCAGATGAGCTCTGAAGATCAATCTGGTAGAATTGAAATTGCACCATGATACAACAGGTTATTATTCTTTGGTTTGTCTTTTATTAATCAATTTACATGATAAATTATGAAGATCACATACACTTACAGATGGGTTTTAATTGTATCTTCTAAATCATACTTTCTCTCTATTTGCAGGTAAGAGTTGTAGATTAAGACGGTTTAACTAACTTGACCCAAGAATTAACAGAAGGCCATTTTCAGAAGAAGAAGAAAGACTACTTGCAGCTCATTGAATTCATGGCAACAAGTGGGCTCTAATAGCTCGGCTCTTGGCATGTTATCATGGCTAGAAAACATAGAAAACGCTAAAAGTTGATCACACAAGTTCAGAAGGAATCCGGAGCAAGAACAGGGAGATGACTCCATCAAACACATGGATTTTCTTCTTGCTATTGCTAAAACTCTCTTTCTCTGTATTCTGTTTTTGGTTTAATAAATTTTCTTCCTGTTACAAAAAAAGGTATGCCTTCGATGAAATCTGATTAGCATGGCATAAGAAAAATTTTGGACAATAGAAAGCAACAATAAAACAATTAATCCTTACATGTACATGCAATCTATACACCAACTAAACAAGAAGAAAATACAACACCGAAACAAAATATAATTTTGATGGAAAAATCGATAGATTAACAAACAATTAATCCATGTTCATTAGATTTTTTTAAACAAACTTTGCATCCGAGTGGAATACAAAAATCGATAGAAAACAAATTTTGCTTTTGAAAGGATGGTAAATGATATTACCAAACAAACAGGTGCAAACTTGAACCGGGTACATATCTTGCAACTAGTCAAAATTCGCATTGCAACTAAACGCTATCTTAGGAGCAAAAGTCACAAGCATGACAGTGATGTCCTCTGTTTTATAGCGGAACCCACTGGAAGCTACGCATGCATGTCAGAGACAAAGGGCTCGTATAGGGCAAAACTGGGTTTTTATAGGGTAAATTGCTTAAACCTCTCCTAAAGTTTAGGACCATTGCTAAAATCTCCCTTGAAGTTTGGTAATTGCAATCACTTTCTCTAAACTTTCTGACTCAGTTGCAAATAGATCCCCTTTATTAGAATCCTCTAAAAAGAGGCATAAAGTGTCCAAAATACTTATGCAGTTACTATTGAGCTAGTTTCTTCAGGAAAAAAAATAATACAAACTTTATGAAAGAAAAAAAAAAAAAAGAGAAAGAGAGAATTTAAAGTTGTAGCTTTAGATGTGAGTGATTGATATGAAGGGAAAATTTAGAAAATAAATCAATTTTAGAAAGAGATTGGAAGGTTTATTTTGGTATGAGATTGGAAGGGTTTGGGGTAGCAATTCATATGTAGAGAAAACTTGAAAAATAAACATTTTGGTCTTAGCAATTGTATGGGTATTTTGGGCATTTTCATGCTTCTTTTAAGAGGATTCTACTTGCAACCAAGGTTTTAAATTTCGTAACGTATCGGCCGATACGACCCGATACGTATTGTTTCAGAAAGGTTCCGATACATGGAACATGTCTAATTATAGGGCTTCGTATTTTTTCGTTTGTATCGGACCAATACGAGTCCATATCGGCTTTGTATCGGACCGTTTCGGGTATGTATTGGCCGATACAATTCGAAATGCGCCAATACATACCCGAAACGGACCGATACGCATTATGTATCAATCGAATATAATTTCCCTCTTCTTTTTAAATTCAAATTTAATTTATCTCCTCTCTCTCATTAATATCAAATTTAAATTCTTCTCTCTCATTAATATCAATTTTAATTGTCTTAAAGTTTGAGACATCACTAAATGCTAATATAATTTAATTAAATGCTTATTTAAGTTACATTTGATTGTAGCATTTAATAATATCATTAAATGTTATTTAAGTGAAATAACTTGTTAAAAATCACACACCAAATGTAACAAGTTTCTAACCCAAGTCATTTGCTTATAACAATAATTAATTGACCATTATGCCAACATTAATTACTTTTAGAAAGACATGTTTTTTTATACTTAAAGTAATCTTTCTTGACTTGGTGGATGTTTCCCGACAAATGCTATAAATTTGATTATTAATATTTATATAATGATAAGATGAATACAAGTTATATTGATTTATTAAAAATTAAGGTATATATTAACTTGTATACATAATAAATATTATCTAATTCTATATATAATAAATATTAACTAATAAATGATTTCAAAAAAAATTAACTAATAAATATTAGTATATATACAAACATTTTAGTTCTATTATTTTTCAATAGTTACTAATTATATCCCGATACTTTATATA